CTCTGAGTGCTCACACAGGGCCCTGCGACGCCACAGCGACGAATGCCGGCCTGACAGCGGCGTCTGTCCGTAACATTTCCGTCCCCTCCCAGGCGCCGGGCACCATGCCGCGCAGCCCCACGTCCAGCGAGGACGAGATGGCCCAGAGCGTGTCCGACTACTCCCTGGGCTCGGGGTCGGACAGCTCCAAGGAGGAGACCATCTACGACACCATCCGGGCCACGGCGGGGAAGCCGGGCGGCACCTGCCCATCCCCACTGCGTGTGCCCATCCCCACTGCGCGTGCCCATCCCCACTGCGCACACCCATCCCCACTGCACCTGCCCATCCCCACTGCGTGTGCCCATCCCCACTGCGCGTGCCCATCCCCACTGCGCACACCCATCCCCACTGCACCTGCCCATCCCCACTGCGTGTGCCCATCCCCACTGCGCGTGCCCATCCCCACTGCGCACACCCATCCCCACTGCACCTGCCCATCCCCACTGCGTGTGCCCATCCCCACTGCGCGTGCCCATCCCCACTGCGCACACCCATCCCCACTGCACCTGCCCATCCCCACTGCGTGTGCCCATCCCCACTGCGCGTGCCCATCCCCACTGCGCACACCCATCCCCACTGCACCTGCCCATCCCCACTGCGTGTGCCCATCCCCACTGCGCGTGCCCATCCCCACTGCGCACACCCATCCCCACTGCACCTGCCCATCCCCACTGCGTGTGCCCATCCCCACTGCGCGTGCCCATCCCCACTGCGCACACCCATCCCCACTGCACCTGCCCATCCCCACTGCGTGTGCCCATCCCCACTGCGCGTGCCCATCCCCACTGCGCACACCCATCCCCACTGCACCTGCCCATCCCCACTGCGTGTGCCCATCCCCACTGCGCGTGCCCATCCCCACTGCGCACACCCATCCCCACTGCACCTGCCCATCCCCACTGCGTGTGCCCATCCCCACTGCGCGTGCCCATCCCCACTGCGCACACCCATCCCCACTGCACCTGCCCATCCCCACTGCGTGTGCCCATCCCCACTGCGCGTGCCCATCCCCACTGCGCACACCCATCCCCACTGCACCTGCCCATCCCCACTGCGTGTGCCCATCCCCACTGCGCGTGCCCATCCCCACTGCGCACACCCATCCCCACTGCACCTGCCCATCCCCACTGCGTGTGCCCATCCCCACTGCGCGTGCCCATCCCCACTGCGCACACCCATCCCCACTGCACCTGCCCATCCCCACTGCGTGTGCCCATCCCCACTGCGCGTGCCCATCCCCACTGCGCACACCCATCCCCACTGCACCTGCCCATCCCCACTGCGTGTGCCCATCCCCACTGCGCGTGCCCATCCCCACTGCGCACACCCATCCCCACTGCACCTGCCCATCCCCACTGCGTGTGCCCATCCCCACTGCGCGTGCCCATCCCCACTGCGCACACCCATCCCCACTGCACCTGCCCATCCCCACTGCGTGTGCCCATCCCCACTGCGCGTGCCCATCCCCACTGCGCACACCCATCCCCACTGCACCTGCCCATCCCCACTGCGCGTGCCCATCCCCACTGCGCACACCCATCCCCACTGCACCTGCCCATCCCCACTGCGCGTGCCCATCCCCACTGCGCACACCCATCCCCACTGCACCTGCCCATCCCCACTGCGCGTGCCCATCCCCACTGTGCACACCCATCCCCACTGCACCTGCCCATCCCCACTGCGCGTGCCCATCCCCACTGTGCACACCCATCCCCACTGCGCATGCCCACGAGTTAAGGAGGTGCAGGGGCCTGGCCCACCTCCTGGCAGGTGCCTGGGAAGCGAGTTGCTTTAGTCACTGTTGCTTTAGTCAGTGTTCCCGTCTGTTAGGTAAATGCGCTCGAGTTTGCGCTTTCACTCAGGAGGGAGCACGCAGCTGCTGCTCTGACCTCAGGGTTCATCCAGCCCCTGCCCCCCGCCCCCGAAATCTCTCCCCAAAGCAGCCACAGGCCCCTGCCTCTCGGGCCCGCAACCTGTCAGCTGACGGGCGCTCCCTAATCCATCACTTGCTTCCGAATGGATGTCCATGGGCTTGTCGTTGATCGAGACGGAGCCCCTGCAGCAAGGCCTCCTTCGGTCTCTAAGCCCTGCTTGGCCGTCTCCTCGCAGACACGGTGGCCACTTGCTTTTGCGTCCGAGGTCCCAGGTTCTGACTGCTGGGGGCCGGCACCTGTCTTGGCGCTGCTTTCTGAGCCATTTCCTCAGGCGGCGGCCGAGGACCAAGCCCCCTGTCAGCCTCTTGGTCTGCAAAGACGCGGAGGGGCCTCCACTGTGGGAGAGGGTTCTGGAAGGCCTGGGCGGGGGAGGTTCCGACCTTGAGGGGAGTGGTTGTGACCTTGACGGGAGAGGTCGTGACCTTGACAAGCTCCCGTTGGCACGTTGCTGGGCAGGTGTCTGATTCAGCCCCCCGGCCCCTGGGGGGTAGCACTGTGTCTCCTTCCAGGAGTCCTGAGTCTGCGGCAGCCCCTCCTGTAGTCCCAGGCCTGTCCTTGGTCCCGGGGGTATCTGTGCAGAGGGGACGCCGCGGGTGGGGGTGACTCCTGCCTTGTTCCCTGTGGCATCTCTCCTGTCCCAGGCCTCGCTCCTGCCCCAGGCCTCGCTCCTGCCCCGGGCTCCCTCCTGCCCAGGCCTCGCTCCTTGCGCACACCCATCCCCACTGCACCTGCCCATCCCCACTGCACACACCCATCCCCACTGCACGTGCCTATCCCCACTGCGCGTGCCCATCCCCTCTGCACGTGCCTATCCCCACTGCACGCGCCCATCCCCTCTGCACGTGCCTATCCCCACTGCGCGTGCCCATGAGTTAAGGAGGTGCAGGGGCCCGGCCCACCTCCTGGCAGGTGCCTGGGAAGCGAGTTGCCCCCACTGTTGCTTTAGTCAGTGTTCCCGTCTGTTAGGTAAATGCGCTCGAGTTTGCGCTTTCATTCAGGAGGGAGCACGCAGCTGCTGCCCTGACCTCAGGGGTCATCCAGCCCCTGCCCCCCCCCAATATCTCCCCAAAGCAGCTGCACGCCCCTGCCTCTCGGGCCCACAACCTGTCATCTGATGGACGCTCCCTAATCCATTACTTGCTTCCGAATGGATGTCCATGGGCTTGTCGTTGATCGAGACGGAGCCCCTGCAGCAAGGCCTCCTTCGGTCTCTAAGCCCTGCTTGGCCGTCTCCTCGCAGACACGGTGGCCACTTGCTTTTGCGTCCGAGGTCCCAGGTTCTGACTGCTGGGGGCCGGCACCTGTCTTGGCGCTGCTTTCTGAGCCATTTCCTCAGGCGGCGGCCGAGGACCAAGCCCCCTGTCAGCCTCTTGGTCTGCAAAGACGCGGAGGGGCCTCCACTGTGGGAGAGGGTTCTGGAAGGCCTGGGCGGGGGAGGTTTTGACCTTGATGGGCGCGGTTGTGACCTTGATGGGAGAGGTCGTGACCTTGACAAGCTCCCGTTGGCACGTTGCTGGGCAGGTGTCTGATTCAGCCCCCCGGCCCCTGGGGGGTAGCACTGTGTCTCCTTCCAGGAGTCCTGAGTCTGCGGCAGCCCCTCCTGTAGTCCCAGGCCTGTCCTTGGTCCCGGGGGTATCTGTGCAGAGGGGACGCCGCGGGTGGGGGTGACTCCTGCCTTGTTCCCTGTGGCATCTCTCCTGCCCCAGCCTCGCTCCTGCCCCGGCCTCGCTCCTGCCCCGGGCTCCCTCCTGC